GCCGTGGTAATTTGCTGTTGAATATGCACTGTTGATTACTTTGTGCGTACGAGAAGGTCAGAGCAAATGGAACAGGTTAACAAAGGGAGACGCGACAGTCCGAGTGAATCCAAACCATGACTCCTTATTCGGTTGTGATGCTTTTCCTGTCCTTGTGTCGTGTGCATCTTTGTTTTAGTACCAGCACTTACAGCTTTGTGAGTACATTGAGAGTAGATGTATTAATGCAGGGAAGCCCAATATAGTGCAGGTAAAAGCCAGTGCAAATCTGATCAATGTGACAAGATAAAGATAACCATTTTAGACAAGTTGCTGACTCATATGTTTCTCTGCTGCTGGGAGCTAACCGGTACTGTCATTTTAAACTTTCTGGGTCAAACAAGAGTCATGTAGCCTATTGGTTAGAGCACTCGCTTCGCAAGCCAGTGGGCCTGGGCTCGATTCCCAGGCAGGGCAAAAAACCTTAGGCAAGTTTCCTTACTCCATACACGTCTAGTAGGAATCCGATTGTTAGTCAACTGGCAGATCGCTTTCTGGGAGGTAATAATTCCTCCAAGAATTAAAAAAAAACAATAATTTGGTCACCCAGTTCACGACTGTTTATGGGAGGTATAGGTGAGGGGAAAAGGAGAGGTTGAGGCTGGATTGGAGTATAAACACTGGCACCGATTAATTGTGACGAATGGCCTGTTTCTCTTGCTGTATCAAACTCTATGTATTTCTGAGAATAGGGAGGAGAATCTGTCCGTTTCACCTTGGCCCCATGTCCAAGTACAGTACCTTGCACAGCATCTGGAGGTCAGGGTGCAAAGTGTGTGCAACAGTCCTCATTTCTTATATCTCTCCACATGTTCAGGATGTACACAACTGTAATTGTAATGTACACAGGTGTAGAATTATTGTTTGTTAATGACACACAACCGTGGTGTTCATGCGCAATATAGGTCATAATAAATTTGCACTCTTCTTTCCTCGGAGCCGAAAACAGGCTCTATCGGATTATGTTTGATCTGAAATGCAATTTCAAACACTTTTGAGTGAACTAATAATCAGTAAGAGCTCTGTTAATCTGCTTGGAATGGAATTGAAAACACTCTTGCACTCTTTGTGGTGTGTGTTAGTGGAGATTTCATGAGAATGAACAAAAAGCACAATGCTGAGAGGATCAGTAATCGGTCAGAAAACAAAACCCTGTTTCAAAGTGGATTTCTTTGGACGACCAATTTGGTAATAATTTGGTAGGATTTTAGTTAACAAACCAGAAGTTACTTTTTTAAATGTTAATAGTAATCCTGGCAATCGATAATACTGCCTTTCATATCAGAAGGTCATCTCAAAGCACTTTGCAGGATAGACTATAAAGTGGAGTGACTAATTTCTGAGCGCACATGTGTTTGGCTCAGTTGGTCGCCTACTTACTTGCCTCTAGGTCAGAAAGTTGTTAGCTCCAAGAACCATATCAGGACTTGAGCTCACAGTCCAGGATGATATCTACCTGTCATCCGTGGAGAATTGGGGAAGGAGTGCTGCGTTGTTGGAGACGCTGTTCCTTCAGGAGAGACCTCAAGCGGGGTCAACTTGGAGCAGGAACAGGCTACAAGATGACATGTTTGGCAAAGGAAGGTCGGAATCGAGGCAGCCCTCTGTGGCGCTCTCGGTAGTCCAGTTCCTGAGCCAGGCAAGTCCGCAGTATTCCAGGGCACTGCTGAGGATAGCAGCCCAGTCTGGCTCATCGGCAGGACCTGGAAGGGCAGACCAGTCACTGGGGGAGGGAAATCATCCCGCTCAGCTCCTGCAAACCAGGACCGCACCTGTAACAGTGCAGCACTCCTCCAGTAACAACTTGGATCATGAATTTAGATTCTAGCACAGGGTTCAAGCTGCAATCTTCTGACATTAAGGGTACTAATAACCGAGTCGGATTGGAAGTGAAATGCTTCAAACAATGTTGGAAACAGTGCACAATAAATCAAAATCCGGATGTCCACAGCCTTCACATCCGCATGGACACGAGCGTGTAGCCAAGGATGCTCAGGGGCACAGCGATTCACAGGCATTTCGGTCGGGGTGAATTTTGACTGATGGCAGAAATCAGAACGACAACTTTTTAGTCCGGTTTAATCTGACGTTTCCCTGAATCCCATTTGTGCAGCTGCTTTCAGTCACTGCGTGAGAGTTACCGTGTTGCAGTTAAAACCCAGAGAAGAGCAGGGGGTTGACAAATGGTTCAGTTGGGGCTCTTGTTTGGTGCTTCACGGGATATATGGCAGCGACTGTGTGTGTTGTGGAGGGAGAACTCCCTTCTCTTTGAAATAATCTCTCAAGTTCTTTAATTATACAGTCAGGACCTCAGCTTAGCCCTCCGGTTAAAACTGTCAGATATAACAATGATAATATTCAGATAATGATAATAATATTCCTCGCATTTGACTGGAGGACGTCTCAAAGATCTTTGCAGGTGAATGCTCCAGCTGATTTGCGCGCAGCAACGATCCAGAAACAGCCACAAAGCGAACGACTAATTCTTTCCGGGGTATTGTTGGTCAAAAGATACAGGGAAAAAATATTTTTTTTTTTTGACTTCTTCACTAAATCAGTGACAAACTAAGACTTTTTCTCCGCGCTGCGGACCACCATGTAGCAGCAAAACGTTTTTAAGAATTTAAAAATCCTTTCCTGCTGTATTATTTAAACTCACACTTCGAGGGATAAGAGGTAATCTGAGCAAACACATTACTTGTGGGTGAATCTTAAGCCTATGATGCATTCGGCTACAGAGATCCAAGTTCAATTTAAAATTTAATAACGTATTAGAGATGTTACAAGGTACTTAAAATTCCTCTGTGCTTGCTTTATGAATGTGATATATATATATATTTTTTTAAAAAAAGCTGGTGTAAGTTAGGGATCCTTTGTGCAAGTTTCACAGTGGGAAATGAGAGAATCCTGCAGCTTGGTGGGCTAACCCTGATGAAATACGCCACAGTCCTTCTGCCTGTGTTTTCTTGATAATCCGTGATCAAACCTATTAATGCCACAGTTTACTGCAATTTAAGCTTCTCCCCTTTATTTGCACGAGGCACGAACGCTAGCGCTGTAAGTCAACTGTGCCCACTCAAATACATAGAAAGCCTGGAACAACCTGAATTCTCACACAGTCACATCACTTCACAGTAGAATCCTGTAAAAAGCTTTGAGACGTCTCAATGGCATGATAAGTTGCTCTGTCAAACGCAAGGAATATTATTATTGTTACGATTAGTAATTTCATTATTATCTGGGGACGCTATTAGGTTTCGTGTGAGTTCAACGTTAATACAAGTGGGTCCTTGTCAGCACTTTAGCAAGACAAAAAAAAGATATGTTTTATTCCCTGGAATAGGGGATATATACAAAGTCTCCCAAAACTAAAACAGAAATGAAGAACAACGGCAATGAAGGAATAATCACAGTAATGAAGGAGGGAGACCTTCTCATTGAGACTTTTTTTCTTCACAGTCATTATGAACAGTATCTATCCTTGCATTTGACAGAGCACCTTTCACATCGGGAGGACTTCTTCAAGCGATTTACTTCAAGGCTTAGCGATTGTGTATTTTGTGGTCCCCGAGATATGAAGGAAAATACACCCCTTTTTTTAAATGCAGGGTTTTTCTGGTGCATAAAATTGGGCCCCGCATTCCAACAGGGTCTGGGGACAAAATAGTCGTCAGTCTCGCCTCTTGGTGGTCACGTTTTGCCCACAAAATACACAGTCAATCCACTGGATGTTCCTGCCATCACTTTGCTGGTTTCTGGCACTGATGAGCGTGCAGGACACCAGCGGGAAACGTCTTGCACTTCCGCAACCTGTTCATCACACTATAAACGGACTTGTGTTGTGAGGAGGCACCTTGTGGCCGTATATTGTTATGAAATTCCGTCTTGTTTGTAGTGAGGAATCATTCTTTTCCCGCAGTGTCTGGGACTCAGCTCCTACCCTAGACTTCTACTGTGGTATACGTTCAGCGGAGTTGCAGGGCAGTCTGATGGGCTCGGGAGCTGATCCAGAGATGCCTGATTCCTGGAGATTTTAGTACCAGTGTGGGTACAGGTATAGGTGGCTCGGTACAGTTTTCTCTCACCTATATTTTCATTATCCTTATCCTTATTGTTCTGATCCCTTCACACAAACAGACCAGATATCTGCCTTAGACATTTTGCCAATTGCAGAATGATTTAAAGCAATATATTCCCTGGTTCAAATGAACCTCCTGCAGCATAGTGATTAGCACACCCGCCTCGCAAGCGAGAGGACCTGGGTTCGATTCCCTATCAGGGCGAAACCTTAGGCAAAGTTTCCTTATTCCTCCTGCCTCTGTTTACCTAACAGTAAGTAGGAACCTCGTAGTTCGTGAATTGGCAAATCGTTTTCCGGGGGTAATAAACCCTGAAAAATAAAATGTGGTCACTCGTTCTGCAGTACGGTTTGTGGGACCCTGCTGTGGGCAATTGACTGCCACGTTTTGCCCACAAAATACACAGTCAATCCACTTGACAATTATATTCTGTGAAGCGCTTTGAGACGTCACAATGACGTGATAAGGCACGATATCAAATGCAAGGATTATTATTAACCTCAATTTTGGTGGGACCTGGGTGGGTTTGTGTACTTGTGTACTTGTGCATAATTGATCACTGTGTCGAGGCTAATAAAATAGATATCATGGTCTAATTTGAAGTATCTCCTTAACTAAGGAATCCTGTCAGAATTCTCACTGACTCCCCAAATCCCCACCATCGGAATGGAATTCCCGTGGGTCAGTCGTCAGCCTGACGTACTTCCAGTTTCTAGAAGATGTCTTTAACTTGTGCAACTTGGAGTCCTTATTGGGGAAATCTGTTAAGGAACACTTCAAATCAATCACCGTTATCGGCTATATTACTGTCGCAGAATTAATTGACGGAGGCAGCGTCCTATTTCCGATAATATAGCGCTGATGGGAATGTTTCATCCACAGCTTGCAACCTGGAATCCTGTAACTGGGCTGAACGGAACGCTGACTGACAAAAAGCTGGAAAACAACATGCGTGGGGTAATGCTCCGTGTTGTTACGGTGCCGGTAAGTGAATATTATCTCTTCATTCTTTATATGTTTTTTCTTAAATATCAAAAGTCGCTTCCTGGCATCAATAGCTTATTGACTGACGCTGAATTAGAGGGTTAATTTGAGGAGGGGACATTGCTTAATGGCTGAACTGAGCAAAGTAAGTGAGTACTTTCAGGGCTTCCTTCCACTTCTCCGTTTAATCAATCCCAAGTATTTTCAGAAAAGCACAGAGGTGTAGTGCATTTGAAGGGTTAAGGTCTAATCGGGCTGCCCACATTGAGATAATTTTGCCCATGGTCTTTTCCAGCAAAGTAATAGATAGTTAAGATGCATATGTGGTGTAACTGTGCATCAATCTCGCTTTTATATCGTGGTTCCAATGGCTTGATATATAATACACAACTCCTTGCCTGCTTTTTGTTTCCAGCCTCTGCCGCCTGCAGCACAATGGCATTCCATCTATGCACGAATAAGTCTGGAGGTCACTGTGTAACTGGTACACAGCAGAAGTTCGCACAGACACATTCTAGGTCATTAGAAATGAATTTACGTCACAAATGGAGGCCGGGGAGTGTGCCTTACTGTTTGACCGCTCTGCTGCCAGCTTCAATCCTGTTTAGGCTATTTTTTGTATTTTATATATCGTTATATATCGCCATGCAGGTGTGAAACATTACCAGGTCTAGTCGCCCGTCCCTTTTTATTGAATCAGACACGTATTTCCTCCTCTCAACAACAACTTGCATTTATACCGAGCCCTTCAGGCAGGGTTGCAGCTCGGAGCGCTGAAAGGCACGTTCCAGGAGGCGATGTGCAACTTGGGGAATTAGTGTGTGATTCATTTGTGCTGAAATCTGCATAGAAACTGGAGATTTGACTCCGAAATAGGGTTTTCAACACCGGGATAAAGTGCCTTATTTAAATCGCTAATAAACTCCAGGGACCGGTTTTCCTGAGGAGACAACATCATAATGCAACTCTGTCCGGCACTCCCTTGATTCATTCATTCCTTCCCTCCCTTTGTTCAGTGCCCGCCTCAAGACCTCCTGCTTTGACCGTACTTTCGGAAGTCTTTGCCCCCTCACCCCACTCCGCCTTCAGCTCCCAACCCCCACCCCAGCCGGCAACGTGAAGTGCTTTGAGCCGTCCTCCTGATGCAAAAGACGCTATGTAGATTTAAATTGGATTGCGCTGTATGAAGTGATAGTGGCAGTGGTTTGAGCGCAAGAATAGCGGCGGCAGCTCCTAAACACCCTCGGTCAATCCAAGGTCAGCACAGATCTCTAGCAGCGAAATTTGCCGCCTCCCGCCCATGAAGAGAGGGGAAGAATATTCATACGTCTCATGCGTTACTCTTTGTTGACTGTTTATATTCCCCCTTCCCTCCTGTAACAGACAGAAACGGCTTGAATACCACCAAACACAAGAATGCAATCGAATGGGCCATAGGGGCCTTCTCCGTCCAAGGCAATCCGAATAAAAATAATAACAATATAATGAATAATAATCCTTGCATTTAATGCAGCACCTTATCACATTGTCGAAACGTCCCAAACACTTTGCTGGACGTACTATGTACCAAGTGCCCCGCGTAAGTGGAGTGGGATTTTTTGTAAATCATGCGATCTGGTGAAGTACAGCACTTTAATTCCTTGAAGACCGCCAGCGGAAGAAAAAAAATTCAACAGAGAGTGACATTGTTTCCCGTCACGATCACAATAGAAATTCGGAAGCAGCAAGTCGAGCCTATGATTATTCCAGAGAACTGAGCGAAGGGGAATGCAAAGATAAACAGCACATTAATTCCCCGGGTTTGCACACCCGCTCGCGTGCTTTTGGCTTTGGCAATCTTCACAGTTGAACGGTTCTTAAGCTGTGACATTTCTTTCGAAGAGGCACCTCAAATCACCGTTTTAAGACTGACTACTTATCATTGTATTTAGTTTCTTTTTTTAGAAAAAATAAATCTGAGACTGTGCATCTTATCTAGGATTTTGAGACTGACGTTTCCATTTGCGCTGCTGCTGAAGTCACTTAGGTGTCAGGATACTGTGAGAATTGAATCCATTCTCTCACCCCCGCAAGTTCTGCGCTCTACCCTAGGGGAGGCGCTGGAAGAGTGAGATCTTAGATTAAAAAAGGTGACCGACCACTTGGAGCACCGCGTCGGCTGGGTACGTTGTTCCACGCGTTGTTCGCTGTGGAAAGAGCTTCTGAAATGTTCGACCTGCCTGAGCTTGTGCGGGTCTTCGGAACTCTGTCCATCGTGGGGCATCGTCAGCACTTGAGGCGTTCTGTCCGTGGCAGAAAGTGAGCGCTTCCAGAATGCAACTTTCCATTTGCCGGTGGAGGCGGCAATGTGCAAAAAACGATTCAGAAATACTCTTCGTTTAAAAAAAAAGTCTTATCGCCTAAATTTCCTTTCACACTCCCTCCCATACCCTTCTGTTCCCCCCTAAATACTCTCTTAGATTCCCTCGACACTGTCTTGTACCTGCATCTTGTGGAGTTGTGGAGTCCTGTAGCTCAGTGGTTAGAGCACTCGCTTTGCAAGTGAGAGACCTGAGTTCAATTCCAGGCAGAGGGCGAAACCTTGGGCAAGTTTCCTTACTCCACACGGAGCCTAATAATAATCCCTCCAAAACCAAAAACAATAATAAATTGGTCATTTTCAATCCACGACTGTTTGTGGGACATTGCTGTGCGCAATTGGCTGCCGCGTTCGCCCACAAATATACAGTCAATTCACGTTACAGTGTGTTCTGTGAAGCGCTTTGGGACGTCCTCCCGACGTGAAAAGCGCTATATCAAATGCAAGGATTATTATTATTATTATCCCCCAGTTACAGACTCCTCAACAAATGGAAGCAGCCTATGTATGCTGAAGGATTAAAATGGTCATCAGTCAGAGGTCGCTAACTGTATTGGGAGCCGGATTAAAGCTTTAAAATCACTCTCGGTTTATCTATTCCCTTTTATGTAATTTGTTGTGATCAGTTGGGTGTCTGACACATTCGGAAACCCGTCCCCATGCTTGAGTAAAAACAAAATAGACGCAGAGTTCCACTTTTCTTTGCCACCTTTGCTTAGAAATCCCCATGTTTGGAATAGCACTACAGGCACGTTCCCAGGAGGTGAAGTGCAACAAGGGGAATCGACTTCAAGATCCTCTCACGCTCGTGTTCAAATCCCTTCACTCCCCGGCACCTCCCTACCTCTCCGACCTCCTCACTTCCCAATCTACCGTCCAGCACGTCCGCTTGACTGTCCCTCCGCCCCACCATCGGAGGTCGCGCTTTCAGCCACTGCGCCCCGAAGCTCTGGAACACTCTCCCTCAATCCCTCCGCCTTGCCCCTTGCTCAAGGCCCGCCTTGAAAAGCCTTCCTCTTCGCTCTCAGACGCTACACTGCATGGAGGGCGCTATGTAAGTGCAAGTTGTTGTTCTTGTTGTTGTAGAATGTGCACGCTCTCTCTGGAGATATAGTGCCAGCATTGTTTAATAATAATAATAATAATAATCCTTGCATTTGATATAGCGCTTTTCACGTCGGGAGGACGTCCCAAAACGCTTCACAGAACACACTGTAAAGTGAATTGACTGTATATCTGTGGGCGAACGCGGCAGCCAATTGTGCACAGCAGTGTCCCACAAACAGTCATGGATTGAAAATGACCAATTTATTATTGTTTTTGGTTTTTGGAGGGATTATTATTAGGTTTGGAGTTGTTTGGGCTCAGTTTCTGTTGGGAATGATCGTGAACCCCAGGGTCAAGCTCTGATGGATCATGGTTCATGTTGGTGACATATTTATTGGCAGTGTATTGAGGATTCTCATTGAGGAGTAGCAGTTACCCACGTGCACCACGTAGTGTATCGCTCTGGACGCACACTTCAACCATTTATCTTACAGTATCGTAAATCGATGACGTTTCTGAAAGAATCTTCTCTGACTCGCTTGTGACAGTGTGAACTGTTTGCCTTTTCCAGGAAGAACCATTCGTTATGGTTTCGGAAAACGTCTTGGGAAAAACGAAGAAATACTATGGTTTCTCCATCGACGTTCTGGATGCTTTAGCGAGCTACCTCGGCTTCAAGTACGAAATCTACGTGGCACCTGATTATCGGTTTGGAAGCCAACAACCAGACGGGAACTGGAATGGGCTCATTGGAGAACTTGTCTTCAAGGTTTGTGCATTGCTGGGTTGCAGCATCTTGATCCCTGTTCAAAAGGAATTCGTTCCTACATTCCCACTTGTGCTTTGAAGTCTTCCTATTCTGGGTGGCTACAAATTCCAACCTTTCTAGGCCTGGGGGTATCAGTTGAGATTGTGTATCAGTGAGCTGGTGTGCTCTGAATTATTTTGATAATTGATGGTTTTTTGATTTAAAATGAAGATTGGCAGATTTTTTTCAGGTTTTAATGATCTTTTCTATGATAAAATTGGCCAACTTCCACGCTGTAAGATTACCAGGGACATCAGTGACCTTATAACTTGGACGTCGACCAGTTTTGTAGTTCAGATAGTTAATTTTTTTTAAAAAATAACTGACGTAATAATAAGAACAATTCAGGCATTTCATATAACTTGCGATCGCATTGTTTAAATGCCTCAAAGAGTTTTACAGGACTGACAGTAAAGTGTAGCAACGAGTGTATTTGTAGATAAAATGCAGCGGCCAATTTGTGGACAGCAGTGAATGACCAATTCCATCTGAGGGTGGGGAGGGGGGGGGGATTGTTGGCCAAGACACCAGGAGAAACTTCCTTCTCTTTTCGAATAGTGCCTCGCAATCTTTAACATCCTCCTGAACAGGCAGACATGATCTTGGTTTAACATCTTATTCGACGGACAACACCCCTGGACAATCCAACGTTGCCCCAGCATCGCATTGGAGCTTCAACCTGGACCGATAAATCCCAACGTTCAGCTGAACCCATAATCCCATGACTCAGAGGCGAGAGAAAGGCTGACATCTGCGTCATGTTTTAACAATGGCGGCTAATGTTCCACAGGATTTACTGGCACCGTCCTTTTTTTTTAACCTCCGTAACCAGCCCAGACTGGCGCAAGCGTTTTCTCTTCAAAACCTGCGGAGGACTTGACGTGGACTGATTTGGGGGCAGTCTCAGTCCGGGTTCCTGTAAATCCCATCGCAGAAAAACTGTACGTTGTTTCCGGATTACGATCGGTGGATAAAGTTTAAAAAAAGGGTGAGGTGACACTTGAGCTACAGTTTGGAAAATCACACCATAGTTCAAGCTCACCTTAGTTCACTGAATACCGTTGAGCTTGTGGCGTTCGGGCTGCTGTTCAGAAGGTCGGTTCCATTTGGTGAAGCTCAGACTTAGACTTTCAAGGAGGATGGAGAGAGGGATCCGGTCAGACAAGTAGTAGCGGTGTTTGAATTAAAGCAGTGACGCCTGGACTATTTCGAGGTCTCCCCACAAACAAACCGCTAAAATACAACTCAAACCGTCCGAAAAAAGTGGACTGACTGGATTCCATCACATTCGCTGCTTCAATAATTCTTTTTTTCCGGTTTGAGTGGCCTTTGTTCGTATGGGGAGAAGTTCCATCTAAATCTAGATTGAAACAGTTTAGGTAGTATTGCAGAGGCCAGAATTTGGCAAACTGTTGCGTTCAGTCTTAACTTTGAAGCCGAATTTCTGAAGTTCTTAAAAGAAAACCTGCAGAAATCCAGCTTCAGTGCCCCAAATTTATTTGATTTCATGTTTCATCCAAAGAATGGGACCTCCAACATGTAGCACACCCCTAGTACTGCATTAGCTTGTCACAAATGTTACCGTATTTTTGCTGATACTGCTAACAGCAGTTCATTGTTGAGTTAAATTGCACTGTATTATTCATCAATTTATATTACTACATGCACATGGTTATGAATGATTAATGAAGTTGGATTTTTTTTTTAAAAAACACATTCAGTAACTTGTTTAAAACAATTTGTGTGCATTCGATAAAAGCTTTCAGGCATATCGATGCGCCTAATTTAACTATCCGTTAACAATCTGCTCGTTAAAAGTCCACTTAAATGTCTTATGTACTAATGTCGATCAGTGACAGTGTGAGATTACAGTGAGCGTATTATTGACTTTGAAGCACTCTGAGACGCCGTCCGGCGTGGAGGGGGCTATATAAATCCAAGTCGTCGTCGTAGTGTAATTTAATACAATTAAATTATTTTATATTATATTACTCTCCACCATCACTGTCTGCCCTCACCTTTTGGAATTCCATCCTGGAGTTGCCTCCAACTCATCCTCTCCTCTACCTCTTTCAAAGTCGGTCTCTCAAGACCTTCCCGTTAGCTGTACCATCAGTCACCCTTCCCCTCCCCGCCCTCTCTTGGCTCCCCCCTCAACCCTCCTCGGCTCCCAGCTCCAGTACAGGTGTTAAGCACCCTGGGATGACCTCCCAACATGACGACCGCTATACCAAATGTACCTTTGTCTTGTCTTGTATTGTTTCGTTCAGTATTCATAGAATAGAATCATAGAAACCTACATCACAGAAGGAGGCCATTTGGCCCATCAGGTCTGTGCCGACTCTTTGAAAGAGCTATCCAATTAGTCCCAATTCCCTATTCTTACCCCCCATAGCCTTGTTTTGTTTTCAAGTATATATCCAATTCCCTTTTGAAACTTACTATTGAATCTTCTTCCACCCACCTATTCAGGCAGTGCATTTCAGATGGGAACAACTCGTAACAATAATTGGTTTAGATATCGCTGGGTTCAGGCCATAGTACACGTTACTGTAGAGGATTTTTAAAAAATACACGGAAAATAGCAAAAAAACGACAAATTTCATCTTTCCGAATGAAAAATTAATATGAATCCACGTGGGAATAAAGCAACCGTGTGAATGCATCAACGAGAGGGATCTTGCGTCAGCCTGGCTCTGATGGTAGCACTCTCGCCTCTGGGTCAGAAGGTTGTGGGTTCAAGCCCCGTGTCGGGACTTTGAATTCCTCGTCGAAACCGAAACTGCCGAACAGTGGTGGGGATGCGCTGCATTTTCTGAGGTGTCGTCCTTCAGATGAGACGTTAAACCCGCGTGTTCAGACGGATGTTGAAAATCTCACGGCACCATTTGAAACGAGGAGAGAGTTTTTCCCGGTGTCCTGGCCCGCACAGCCCCAAATAAAGTCGGTCTTTCAATTCGTGTCTGTTTGTGGGACTTGTGCTGCGCGTAAATTGTTCTGCTGCGTTCGTCCGCAAAACACACAGTGTATTCTGTGAAGCACTTCGGCTCATCCCTCCCGCCATAAAAGGCACCGTCTCCAAGTAAAGATTATTAGTGTTATTATTAATAGTGTTTTTTTGGGGGTTTTTTTTTGCGATAAAATGTTACAGAGGGCGGACGTGGGCATCTCAGCTCTGACGATTACACCGGAGCGGGAGAACGTGGTGGACTTTACCACCCGCTACATGGACTACTCGCTGGGGTTCCTGCTGAAGAAGGCGGAGAAGACGGTGGACATGTTTGCCTGCCTGGCCCCGTTCGATTTTTCTCTGTGGGCCTGCATCGCTGGCACCGTGCTGCTGGTGGGGCTGCTCGTGTACCTGCTGAACTGGCTGAACCCTCCGCGTCTGCAGATGGGCTCAGTCACCTCCACCACTCTGTACAACTCCATGTGGTTCGTCTACGGCTCCTTCGTCCAGCAAGGTAAGAGGCCTCCTCGTCTCGACCCCGTCCTGCGGCCGGTTGTGGTGTCAGCGCGTCGAATGCTGCGTTAACTCTGCGAGGTGGAGTTGCTGTGTTTTATGCTGAAGGCCCCACCGGGGAGCGCGTTCAGTTCTCCAATCAGGACGATGTGAGTTGAACGTGAGCTTACGGTGGGCTGGATTCAGTGTCAGGACTGAATAGCCAGCTCAGTGCGTTCGCTGAGTTTCCCTTTCCTGCTGGAAAGGGCAGCAGTAACAGGCATTCAGACTCGCTTGATGCGTATTTCCTGCATCGTAGCCCGAGTGATCTCTAAGGTCGAGTGGTGCAAGATTGCCTTCCCGCTCACAAATGGATTAAGCAACTCAGTCTCCTGGGTTTACAAGCGAACCATCGCTGGGATTTCCCTGCGAATCTGAAACGGACAGGAGTTTGCCAACTCTGTCTCAGTGTAGTGACTATGTGTTTGTATGGAAATTGTTACCCATCAGGCTCCAATTCCTCAATTTACCCAAGACGCAGTGAACTGGTGCGAAACTTGTCTCTAATGAAAATAAAGCGTGCATGAGAGGTTGCTCTCGTGTGCTTCCTAATGGCAAGTTTTCAACTGAAGTAAATCATTCCACAATCAGTATTACTATTACCATCATTCCACAATCATTTTAGATGGTAAAAATGAGCTTGTTGAGGCGGACGTAAAAGAGGGAAGTAAACCAGATTATTTGTGTGTGTGTGCGTGTTTGTGTGAGTCTGTTAATGTGGTTATACAAACACGCAGAGGCTTAATTTCTCCAGTAAAAAAAAGATGTTTTGTTGCTGAGCAATGATTTTGCCAGGAATGAAATTCCACTGAAAATACAGTTAATTTGATAAATGATTATCACGTACGTGCAGAGAATTCCTCTCAACCGAATCACTTCCAGTTCACTTCCATTTTATAGAATTAGCTTACTTGTGTAAATATTTAGCTTATTCTGAACTAATACGACATCGAGCATTTGAACATTATTACACATTACTTTTAACCCATTTTGTCTGCCTCAGCAGCGTTCTTTTCGACCAACATCTCCATTTAATTTCCCCGACGCCATTTTCCAATGCTGTTATGAAAAAATGTAAATGGGAAATCCGATTCTAACAATGATTCAGGTCATGAATATATGTGGTACCAGGGTATTGCTTTGTTTTTTTTTATCAATGGCGGCTTGTATTTCGTATCGTAAACACTGCAAGTCTAACTCTTCGACATGACCATACAAGTGAAAGTTTCAGCGACATCGCTGATTGAATTCAGAACGTAGCAGATAGTACTTGTGTATGAATAGTCGTTGTATCCTGGTAATGTTGGTGGATGGCTAAACAGGATCCCTTAACAACGGTCACCTTTTGTTCTCTGTTTCGAGTGGTGTCTGTGGCGAGCTGATTGTTTTGCTGTCTCTATGGTTTTCCGGTGCTTATTTTCTGAATTCATTGTTCATTATGTTTCCGTCGATGCTGAATCGAACAAACTCTGCTTTTGTTCTCCATTTTACAACGTTCACCCAAACCTCTTGAGACTGAGAAAAGTCCACCTGCAAACTCGCTCAGAGAGTTGGTTTGTGGGGTGCGATCCAGCTGCTGTTCCCACACAGTTCAAACCTCATCTGGTGCCCATCAACAAAGTTTGACCACTCAATACATGACTGTTTGCGGGACAGTGTTGTGCGCTATTGGCTGACGAGTTTTGCCCACGTAATATACAGTTGATTTACTTTATGGTACGTTCTGTGCAGCGCTTTGAGATGTGGTGCAGACAGTGGTGGTGAACGGTTGTTTTTGTGACTGGAGGGAAGTGTGCAATGGTGTCCCCCAGAGACCACTGCTGTTTGTGATCTATATAAATGATCTGGACTTGGGTACAGGGAGTACAATTTCCAAGTTTGCAGATGATATTAAGCTAGGAAAAGTAATAAACAGTGAGGAGGATAGTATCAGACTGCAAACGGACATAGAGAGACTGGTAACATGGGCAGACACGTGGCAGATGAAGTTTAATGTGGAGAAATGTGAATTGATGCATTTTGGGAGGAAGAATGAGGAGCAGCAATATAAGCTGACGGTACAATCTTAGGGGGTGAAGGAACAGAGAGACCTGGGGGTTCATGTAAGTAAATCTTTGACAGGACAGGTAGAATAAAGCTGTTTAAAAAAAAAGCGTACGGGATACTCGGCTTTATAAATAGAGGCATAGAGAACACATCTGATGTCTTGGCCTCTACCCCTTTCCCGGCCACTCATGGCAGCCAGTGGAATCCTGTAATAATATAATAATAATAATAATCCTTGCATTTAATATAGCGCTTTTCACATCGGGAGGACGTCCCAAAGCACTTCACAGAACACACTGTAAAGTGAATTTGTATGTTTGTGGGCGAACGCGGCAGCCAATTGCGCACAGCAATGTCCTACAAACAGTCGTAGATTGAAAATGACCAATTTATTATTGTTTTTGGTTTTGGAGGGATTATTATTAGGCTCTGTGTGGAGTAAGGAAACTTGCCCAAGGTTTCACCCTCTGCCTGGAATTGAACTCAGGTCTCTCGCTTGCAAAGCGAGTGCTCTAACCACTGAGCTACAGGACTGCACACCACTGAGCTACAGGACTCCACTCACTGGCGCACTCGCCTCACAACCAAGAGACCTGGGTTTGCTTCCCGGCAGAGCGAAACGATGGGCAAGTTTCCTTACTCCACACGGCTCTGCTTACCTAGGAGTAAGTAGGAACCCGGTTGTTAGGCGATCGGCGGATGGCTTTTCCAGGGGTAATGATTCCTTCAAAAAAAAATAATAATTTGGTCACTCAATTCACGACACTGATGTGCGCATTTGGCTGATGTGTTTCGGCCACAAAATATACAGTCAATTCACTTTACATTATATTCCGTGAAGCGCTTTGATAAAGCACTATATCAAATGCAAGGATTACTATTATTATTATAATAATAACAATAATTTTTATTATTATTATTATTATTGTCCTCTGAGGAAAGAAAAAAACTTCCTGTACCTGTTTGAAATTGCCTTTTACAACTCTTAAACTTTTGTCCTCTTGTTCTACTATCTTGTTACATCAGAGTATTGATCCGGGTTTACTTTTTTCAATCCCATTCAAAATATTATACACATCTCTGAGGTCTCCTCTGAGTCTTCTTCTCTCCAAATATAACTTTTCCTTTGGTACAAAACGATTACCTCGGGCTCCAAGCCTGACAGGTCATCTTTGGGGGCCAATGACAAGCTGAATGACCTGGAGCTTGATGGAAATCATTTCATTTGCTGCCCCCACGATGGAATGAAAAAAAAACCAATGTCACTTTACAGGCCAGGTCTGCCGCAGAGTTGGTATCAGCTCAGCGCTAGGCGAGTCAAACAAGCATAAACTGTACCGCATAGCTTCAGTAAATGCAGCGTGATTCAGTGTGATAGAAACATCAGGAGAGCACCTCCGGGAAGGCAAAGCTCCTGCTGTTTCGGTCTCCCACTGGCTGCAGTGCGACCATCAAGATCACAGCAGAATACTGAATCATAGAGCAATGTTCATCATCACAAAGAACATCTTTGTTTGTTCTTCTTCAGTCCGATCGACATTTTCGCTTTCCAATTTTGCTTTAAAGCCACACTTGGTCTCTCACTTTGAAAATTTTCAGCGCATATGTTTCTTTTGCGATTCTAATGTGACCAGATATAACTTTTCTCTCACTTATTCCCCCCCCTCCCCCCCCCACCAACCCACACCCCCCCCCAAAAAAAAAGACCTTCATATAAATTTTCTCTGGAAGTACTTTGAGTGGCTCGTCAAGTTTGTGTCACGGTACACTGTGAGTGATGGGAACTCACAGGGTCACACGGGTTTGATATATTGAGTACCGTTCATTCTGCTCAGCATAAGTAATACCATATCCCCCAAGCTCTGAAGAACATGCCCTCGTGTTAGCTTTCGATTTCTCATTCCACCAATCATTGTGACCTCCTTGAACGATACCAAGATAATACTATGGATATCGCAGACAAGCGAAGAGTGCCGCGGAGATTCACTGGGCTGATACCAGGGCTGAAAGGATGTACTTTGGCTATAGTGGTTGAAAACCAGGGTTGTTTTCATCGGCTTCCGGAAGATTGAGCTGAGTGTTGTAAACAATAAGGTCCAATTTGTGATCTTCGCAAACCAGGTTGAACGCCCGCACTTGGGTCGCAGGGATTTTTTTTTACACTCCCGACGCCATTCAGAAAAGGCATTTAGCAATTCTTGAATATGCCCAAGAAATATATTTGCACATTTGCAATCAGAAGCCGCACATCAGATTGGATTTGCAAATATCGCACATTAGATCCTAATGACGAGATTATTTATGCTGGTCTGTGAATCAGCAACAGGAAGGCATAAATCAACACGAGATTATTACCAGATGCACAATGCGAGAGGTGAGAAGAACATTTTTTTACACGGAGGGTTATTAAAACACATTATCACAAGGCTAATAGGATGAGACATTTAAAGGGAGTCAGATAAACACTCGAAGAACAAAATATTTAAATTGCTTATTTGATAAAAAAAATGATTTAACAAAAAATACTTATTATTATAAATAGACATTATAAACGAGCAGGAAAATAGGATTGGAGTAATTCACTTCATGGCTGTTTGTGGGAAGTTGCCATGGGCAAATTGGCTGTTGTGTTTGCCCGCAAGATACACAGTCACTAGATTTTAAAGTATATCCCGTGAAGTGCTTTGAGACGCGCAAGGTCCTATATCAAAAGAAGGGACTCTTACTTAGAATATAGAGCTCCGGCCGTGGGACAGCACCGCAAATGCGCAGCGGGACACCCTACTGCGCTGATATTTCTGGGATTTTGATTTGTGTAACGCTTAGTTTTTGCTGAAAAGGTCTCCTGTTGGGAGCTGCCGTAACTCATTCGCTTAAGACTTCGAAGCTGTCGGGGAGAGGAGAGCTTCACTCTGG